AAAAGGACGAAGGATTTGAACAGACACTTCAGCAAATAAAATATATGAGTGACAAATAAGCAAATGAAAATATGCTCAACATCACTAGTCATTAGGGAAATGCAAATTAAAACCACAATGAGATATCATTACACACCTATGAGAATGGCTTGAGAAAAAAATAAAATTGACAACACCAAATTCTGGCAAAGTCCAGAGCAATTGGGATTCTCATTCGTTGTTAGTAAAAACACACAGCACCTTTGGAAAACAGGTTAGTATTTTCTTATAAATTTAAAGTGCACTGAACCATGTGATCCAGTTGTCCTACTAGGTATGTGACCAAGAGAGGGAAAGAAAGCAGGTTCGCACAAAAATTCGTTTGTGAATACTTACAGTAGCTTGATTCATAATTGCCCCAAACTGGAAACTGCCTAAATGTCCTTCAGCCGGTGAATGGATGTACAAACTGTGGTCCATCCAAACAATGGACTAGATTAGCAATAAAAAGGAATGAACTGCTACGTTTTCCTGCTCCTGCTAAGTACAGCGAACAACCCTGGACGCTGGTATAAAATAAACATAACAAGAATCTGAAAGGTGGAGAGAAGAGAGACTGCCTGAGAAGCTCAAGACTAGAGGAATGAGAATGGTGAGTGGCCTGGGTTTTCTTTTTGCCTCTTCTGCCATGGGCGTGTGGTGCCGGAGAAGCCACAGGTGCAGACCAAGAAACAAGCCCCAAGGAAAGTGTGCTGTATGTAGCCAAAAGGGACCACCTAGCAAAACAAAAACTTGGAGCTAAATAGCCAAACTGGACTAGGTAAATAAACTGGCCCTCCTGCCACCTCACCTGTCAGCAATGGCCAGGTGGGAGCCTGGACTTGTCTCCCCACCCGGCCAGGGTGGTGTCAGAGAAAGCAGAGTGGGAAGCTGGGATTTTCATTTCTTCCAGGAGACAGTGAGACCCCCTTTCCCATGGGGTCAATGGTCATAGGGATCCTGGACCTGCACCCAGCAATAAAGACTTGTCCCTCTGGCTTCCTGCCTAGGTGATCCAATGGAGATTCAGGACTGTCACTAATTTGAGGCAGTAATAAGACCACCCCTACAGTATCATCGAGAAACAGTAACAAGGCATTCCTACCCTCCCAGTGGAGGACAGTGGGAAGCCAGAACTCCCACGTATGTTCAGCAATAATGATCACACACACCCTCCCCCTATCTGGCATCAGCAAGGCAACACCCCTTTT